ATGTGTCTTTGTAAATGTTTTATCCAGTCCTCCTGAACTGACAAGGGACCTTGGAAGACCAGGTCACAGAACCTGGAAACACAAAAAGCAAAATGCAAAACCAGGCAACCAGGTTATCTGGCAGCTTGAGACTGGGGAAAAAATGAATTGGGGATTAAAAACAACAACAACAAAAAAAGCAAACACATTACCTGCAGGTAAGCCTGTACATTTCCTCTGGCGTTTGAGTTAAGGGCAGTGTCTTCTTTTTTGACCCAGGCCTTGAGCGTGTCCTAACTGCTTTACAGTCAATCGCTGAAAGACAGAATTTCATTTACAACCGGCATTAACACTACAGTATATTTAACATTATAGTGGATGAAAATATCTGATGAACACTGGAAAATTGTCTAATGACATTTCAGCAAGAGTTCTTTGAATGGGCTTTGAATGTGTGGACATTTTTGACTTTTGCTGTATTATGCATGGTCGAGTGTGGCTAAGAAAGGGCCCAAGATCAAAGCGTGATGATGTGCGCCTGCAGGAAAACTGGGTCCTGACAACTTGAAGCCACCAAGAGGTCGCTCTGCAATTAAAATCTCTGCTAAAGCTCCAAAAAGCTGATGCCCTCCTACATTCTTACCTTGGGGAGCACACAAATAACCACTGGTGGACTAAATATAACTAAGATTTGGACATCGCAGCTCCTTTTGGTTTCCAGCTACACAGTTTTATCAGGCTGAGATTTCTGCTGCTGTTGGTGCCTGAAAGTTTGTGAACCCTTTGCATAAATATGACCTGCTGCCAGAATAAGAGATCCCAGTTAAACAAGATAAAAAATATTATATCATTCCTTTTATTCAATAATCCAACGTTACATAAGAGAGGTAAAACTATGCTTTTTGCTTTTGCGGTCTGCTCTAACATTCTTGCTAGGTTAGGGGTTAGGATTCTGACTTGGCCGCATAGTCTTTATTCTTCTTTAACCTTTAAGTACAAATATTAGTGATGATGGTCATTGTATTGCTGCACGACCCACTTTCTCTCTCGAGATCTACGTCGCAGACGGATGTCCTGGTTTTCCTTTAGAATTTGCTGGAATAATTCAGAAGTCATTGTTCCATCAGTGATGAAGAGGCATCTTGGCCTAGATGCAGCAAGCAAGGCCCAAACCATGATACAACCATCTGCTCCTCTCCCTGCCACGCACAGCTTTGCTGTTTGGTGTTCTCCTTTTAACAATTTAGTGAACCTGAACATTTGCCAGCATGGAAGTGGTGTTACCCTGGGGTCCTTTATGATCATATGAACTACACACCTTGCTCTTGGGTGATCTTTGTGGGTCGACCACTCCTGGGGAGTGTAACAGTGGTCTTGAATATCCTCCATTTGTACACAATCTGTCTGACTGTGGAACGGTGGAGTCCAAACTCTTTCGAGATGATTTTGTAACCCTTTCCAGCTTCATGAGCATCAACAATCCTCTTCCTGAGTTCCCCAGAGAGCTCCTTTGTTCTTGGCATGATGCCGTTCCACAAACACAGATTCTGACAGACGTCTTTTTTTTTTTTTGCACTCACACCTGATTGTAATCTGGCTGATTGAAAACATCTGACTCCAATTTCAGATTAACTGATAATCCACGAGGTTCACATACTTAATACTAAAATAATCTTAGGACTTGAAAATCTGAAG